TACTTGTTCATTGTTATGATGTCTTTATTTTTAATTATTTAATTATTTATTTGTTTGTTTAGTTTGCTACGTGTTCTTGTGATGTATTGTCACTGGAAGACGGGAAGAATGAGGTTTGTATTAAACTTCAGTTTGGCAGTAAAATGGAAAGAGAATTAAGAATTGAGCTACAAGAAGGTACAACACATGCATTATAAGGCTTCGCCACTTTGTACATGTACATGTATGGGCAAAAATGTCCGTTTGGAATTAATTTAATTTTGATCATAAGACCATAATGTAATAGATGTTTGAATATACATGTAATGTACATTTAATCTGATACATGATATAAATGTCTTACAATAAAATGATCAATAGATGATACTCCTCAAGATTTAGTAGCTGATCTTGTTCAGTGGGGTCTATTGTCAAGAGAAGATGCTGAGCCTCTAGTATCAAAACTGAGTACAATATTAGCCTAACAACAGCTGATGATACATGTATGATTCAATCACCACATTCACTAATAAGTATAGTCACTTGAACTCCTGTTATTGTTATTATTATTATTGTTATTATTATTACTATTTCTGTTAATACTTGAACTAAAATTAATGTGATTATGTATGTAAGTAACTGCCTTGTCACATTGATAATTCTTTTTAATTCAGTGGAACTACTAGCTCAACTTTGCTACACTACATTCACTAATGTCTGTGTGAAAATTTTTTGAGCAACTTTAAAAAATCAAACTTGATTGAAAATAGCTCCAACTTTCTATGCAACATAAGTACATGTATATGTATCAGAAAAAATTTAAAAGTGAAAATGTTTCTGCTTTTTAATTTTAATGATATTGCATGTATTTCTAATTTGTGCTTTTGTAAATTAATTTCTACTGATGTCTTTCATCAAGAGCAGATAATAATTAGAGGAGAGTGTCCTACCAGCTATGTGGTTTGCTTCATCACGGCGTAGAAATGGAAAGTCACAATCCGGTTATTTCCGTATTTTATTTGAGTTGAGTAGTTATTGCTAGTTATTTTCAAATAACTACTCAAATAAAATACGGAAATAATCGGAATGTGACTTTCCATTTCTATGCGGTGATGAAGCAGGGGGTATAGTGCACAGTAGGACGCTCCCCTCCAACTATTATCTACACTTGCTACTACTTTACTTAACAATGATAAAGTTAACTATTGTGAACCATTGCTTTACTTATGTTGTGGTGTAGAAAGACACTTTTTGTTTTAGCCAAGCTGCCATCACTCCAATCAATGAGTAATTACCTCATTAATGACACATACTTATTTGGAAGAGCTAATCAATACAACTTTGATACTATTGATACAGTTATCTCCCACAAGTGTGTAGAAATAATTCTTAGTAATCATAATACAAAGAACTATTGCTACACACCTGTAGGAGTATAGCTACTTATTGCAAGCGGGCCCTGAAACAGGTCAGTGTCTTTCTTTAACGATGGAAGTAAAGGATGTAGATCTAAAGGATGAAGATAATTATGTAGTAACTGATGGAGATGAAGTCAGGGAGGAATATGAAGATATGGCAACACGAGGTTCAATACAAATTCAGGAGAATGTTTATGAAATGCTTGATGCTGCTAGGAGGAAGAGTAGTCAAGTAAGTCAAGCAAGATTAGCTTTTAAGCAGGCACCAAAGCGGTCGACATGGAGTACACCATTAGTAGTTATTGCTCTATTACTGTGTCTTATAGTATTGCTACTGGTGGTAATACTTTGTTTATCACTGGTTCAATTGTTTGCTGGAGATGCTAATACCAGTACCAGTACAACTGCTACTGGAGCTACTGCTGGTAACAATGAATCGCCTAACTTCACTCAATGGGCTAATGATATAGTATCTAAAGTTAACAGCAATGTAACAGGGAGCCTTTCTGACTTCACTGAATGGTCTAATGGTGTTGTCTCTAAAGTTAACAGGAATGTAACAGGGAGCCTTCCTGATTTCAATGAATGGGCTAATGGTGTTGTCTCTAAAGTTAATAGCAATGTAACAGGGAGCCTTCCTGACTTCAATGAATGGGCTATTGGTGTTGTCTCTAAAGTTAACAGCAATGTAACAGGGAGCCTTCCTGACTTCAATGAATGGGCTAATGGTGTATCACAAAATACCCTTCAACTATTTCAGAACAATACCTACTTTACTGAACTTGATAAACAAATCTTACAAACTACAAGAGATTCTGCACAAAAGCTCATTAACATTGTCAATACTCTCTCTAATCTACAAGACACCAGTACCTCTACTGCTGGCCCGAGTGGCTGATGATATACTACTAATAGCACAAGAACTATTAGTACTACACAATGACTCAACTGCTTTACCTACTTCTTGTAAGGAATTAAAAAGCCAATACCCAAGCAGTCCATCAGGTTATTATATATTAGCATCAGCTAATGGATCAACTGATTATGCTGCTTACTGTAATATGGGGTTACTGTGTGGCTCAGGAGGAGGATGGACAAGACTAGCATATCTGGATATGACTGATGCTACACAGAACTGTCCTTCTGGGTTTAGACTGTACCAGTCAGGAGGAGTTAGAGCTTGTGGTAGAAATAGCAGCAGTGGTACTGGCTGTGTATCAGTTCAGTTCCCATCTAATGGCATCAACTATACTCAGATATGTGGTAGAGTAACAGGATATCAATATGGAAGACCAGAAGCATTCAACAATAACCGTAGTATTGATGCTCCTTATGTTGATGGTGTTAGTATCACTCGTGGGTCTCCTCGTCAACATGTCTGGTCATTAGTAGCTGGTCGAAGTGAATCAGATAATTCGACACATTCATGTCCATGTAATAATGGTAGTTCAGAGTCAGTGCAGTCTTTTATTGGTAATAACTACTTCTGTGAATCAGGTACTAATGCTAGCCTTCCATCTAATAATATTCTCTACACGTCTGACCCACTCTGGGATGGTCAGGGTTGTGGTTCTCTTGAATCACCTTGTTGTAATGTTCCTGGTATCCCATGGTTTCACAGAGACTATGGTAGCAATACCACTACTGACTATATTGAGTTGAGGGTCTGTGCTAGTGTTAGTTCTGAAGACAGTCCTGTCAGTTATTATGAGATTTATATTAAGTAGAGTATACTGTGTGTGTGTGTGTGTGTTGTATCTTTCACAGTGTGTCTTTTTTCAATTTATTTGGTTCTTTTTATAACTATTGCTTTTAGTTGAGTGCCTTATTTTGCTTTAGTTTTTAGCTCCTTTTGATGCACACACCATTACATCTGATCGTTTTTTGCTCTTTATTTTGTTATGAATTTAGATCTATGTAACAGTTTTTATTGACAATTGCCACAGCAACAATAGACTAGCCATATCTACCCGTTCCTCCTTTGATCATGTGATAACAACAAAATAACAAGATCTTTATAATAACTGTATACCCACACCTGTCACACATGACATAATTTCCATAGAAATTTTTTGTATAAACTATGATCTCAAATTAAGTATAACCAGTTTCCCACCTATACTTCAATGCACCAAGATAACCATAATCATAATAATAATTATGCATAAAATATCTCTTCATTGACTTCATTCATTATTTACAATGTGTGCATCAATGTGGTATAAGATTTTTCTATATTGCTTACAATATCTTTGTTATAACTGATAATGTTAATGTATCCTTATCTATAATTATTTTCCTAGGCATGTATTGTATTGTTATTGTTATCATTTTTCCTAATTATTATTTCTGTACTTATTTTCATTTCTTATGTAGGTTATATAATGTATGCATTGTTGATTTAGATTCCTTTCTAGTGTTATGTAATATTATGCAATGTGTGTCAGTGATGTATTATGATGCAATTGATTTGTGTGCATTTAAGTGTGTGCATTCTTCAGTTTTAAGAAGAAGTTTTTAACTTATTGATAAATTCGTTTGTTGATTCCCACGAGACCTCTTTTTACCTTTACTTCTCGGTCACTACAATCTTCCATTATTCTTTATTGAGATTTAAATTTAGCAACTGAGATACCAAATTGTGTCAATGTAATGTGACCATTGTGATTGTGTATGTAAACTACCTCTTCACCTTTCACTGTCTTGTGTGAATATCAATGTCCACATTCTACATGTCTACTTAGATCTATACATGTATCCCAGTATATTAATTGGAGCATTATTACTTGTATAGAGTAGTTCAAAAATTTACTTTCCTATTTCTCTTTTGTTTTATTATTTTGTATCCCTTTCTCCTACTTATCATCTGATGGCTTTTTATAAACAAGACAAAACTAAGATCTGAAGGGTTTGTTCTACTGAACATAAGTCTCATAAAAGCCAACAGGACTGTCTTCATTACCAATTGCTTCATCCCCACAGACCCTCAACTCAATATAGTCAGCAGTGGTAGTAGTGCATGCATGGTGTTCACTAAAATTGTTATAAATAAGAAGTTGGACAGTGATAATTACAATATAAAAAGTCTACTAAAATCTGCATGCATATGATATCCTCTACAGTGTCTCATTGCACATAAATCTCATAATAGTTCACTTTTACATCTTCATTACTAATGTCCTGATCACAGCACTGTCTCAACTCAACGTAGTCACTACTGGGAGCAGCAAGTGTCCTGTTGAACCATGGTATACCTGGAACTGAACAACAGCTAACTTCATTAGGACCACAACCTTCACCATCCCATACTGGATCACTGGAGTACAGTATAAGCTGTACGTTGGTATTGGGATTACCAGACTCACAAAAGTAGTCATTTCCAATGAATGATTGGGTAGCTGTACCTCCAGCACATGGACAGTTATCAAAGTGGTTGTTTTGCGAATCTACGCCACATATTAGACTCCAGACATGCTGACGAGGTGATCCACGAGTGATACTAACACCGTCAATGTAATACGAGTTTATGTTGTTGATTGGGTTAACAGCATCTGGTGTTCCATATTGATATGCTGTTACTCTACCACATATCTGAGAATAACTGATGCCATTAGATGGGAACTGAACTGATGCACAGTTACCACCACCACTTGGCCTTGAGCAAGCTCTAACTCCTCCTGACTGGTACAGTCCAAACCCAGAAGGACAGTTCTGTGTAGCATCAGACATATCCAGATATGCTAGTCTTGTCCATCCTCCTCCTGAACCACACAATGTTCCCATATTACAGTAAGCAGTATAAGTAGATCCTCCAGTAGTAGGTGCTAGTAGATACACACCTGAAGGACTGAGTGGTTGTCTCTCCTTAATCTCTTTACAAGAGGTAGGTAAAGCAGTTGAGTCATTGTGTAGTACTAATAGTTCTTGTGCTATTAGTAATATATCATCAGCCACTCCAGCAGTAGAGGTACAAGTGTCTTGTAGATTAGAGAGAGTATTGACAATGTTCATTAGTTTTGAAGCAGAGTTCCCAGTTGTCTCCAATATCTTGTTTATATTGATGCTGTTGTTAATACCCTTTTCCGTTTGCATGTCAGCGAAATTATGAATGTCATCAATCTTCCATGCAGTGTCCTCTGATGCATTTAAAAGTGTCCTAACCCAAGTCTTTAACTCTTTTATTTCTTGCTGCCATTCATCATGGGCTATACTGCAATTAGGAAGGCTAGTAGTAGTTGATGAGACATTATATACAATGGGACAATTCATTCCTTCAACTGCTTGCACTGTAGTAGATGCATACCTCTCCTCTACTATAACAATTAAAACAAGGAGCAGAATCAGAATAATAAATAAAGTCATGAGGGCTACAACAGCTATGACTATCAGAGTACAGCAGAACTTTCCTCCAGCTACAAAAAGTTGTTCCTTTGACTTTCTATCATCTTTATATTCGTAGCCACTATTGACATCATATTGTTGCAGCTCTGTTACTTCGTAAAGATTTTCTTTCTCCATTATTGGTTGCTTGATTGAGCCCTCTTGGGTATGGAAAAGGTTACCTTTTGAGGTTGTTTTGTTTAGTGTAACCATGGTGTTAATTAGTTTCATTATCCTCATGAATTCCATATATTTTGCTACTGAAGCGCATTATGATTATGTTGGCTATAATAATTTGCTTAATATGGTCTAGTCTCAGAAGTGCATTCATAATGACTATTAAAAATTATTTTATTTTAGTTCAAATTATCTGCACAAAGTTAGCAATAACCATAAAGCATTAAAAGTTAAGAAACATAAATCTCAATGTGACTGACTGGGGAATCTTCATCATTATTTGCTTCATTGCCACACACTCTCAATTCAATGTAGTCACTGCTAGCACCAGCAGTGCCATAGTCCCTGTGAAACCATGGGATACCAGGAGCAGCACAGCATGGACCTTCCTTACTACCACAGCCTTGACCATCCCAGAGTGGATCAGATGAGTAAAGGGTTGCAACTACATTAGAGTTAGGATTACCAGACTCACAAAAGTAATGATTGCCTATAAATGATGGTACTTGTCTTGAACTCCCAGTATTACATGGGCAACTGTATGTAGTGGTGTAAGATTGGAATGGTCCAGCCATTAGTGACCAGACATGCTGACGAGAAGACCCACGAGTGATACTAACACCATCAAGGTATGTTGAATTGACATTTGTTGCTCCTGAATGAATTGCATCGGGATTACCATATTGATATCCTGTTACTCTACCACATATCTGAGAATAACTGATACCATTAGATGGGAACTGAACTGATGCAGTGCATCCAGCACCTCCATTTGGCCTACCACAAGCTCTAACTCCTCCTGACTGGTACAGTCTAAATCCAGAAGGACAGTTCTGTGTAGCATCAGACATATCCAGATATACTAGTCTTGTCCATCCTCCTCCTGAACCACACAGTAACCCCATATTACAGTAAGCAGTGTAAGTAGTTGAACCATTAGTTGATGCTAATACATAATAACCTGATGAACTGCTTGGGTATTGGCTTTTCAATTCCTTACAAGAGGTAGGTAAAGCAGTTGAGTCATTGTGTAGTACTAATAGTTCTTGTGCTATTAGTAGTATATCATCAACCACTCCAGCAGTAGAGGTACTGGTGTCTTGTAGATTAGAGAGAGTATTGACAATGTTAATGAGCTTTGAAGCAGAGTTCCCAGTTGTCTCCAATATCTTGTTTATATCCATGCTGCTGTTAATACTTTTTTCAGTCTGCATGTCAGCGAAATTATGAATGTCATCAATCTTCCATGCAGTGTCCACTGATGCATTCACTAGCATGTTAACCCGAGCCTTCAACTCATTCATTTCTTGCTGCCATTCATTATGTGCTATACTGCAATTAGGAAGGCTAGTAGTTGATGTGCAGACGTTATAAGTAATGGAACAATTCATTCCTTCAACTGATTGCACTGTAGTAGATGCATATCTCTCCTCTGCTATAACAATTAAAACAAGGAGCAGAATCAGAATAATAAATAAAGTCATGAGGGCTACAACAGCTATGACTATCAGAGTACAGCAGAACTTTCCTCCAGCTACAAAAAGTTGCTCCTTTGACTTTCTGTCTTCTTTATATTCATAGCCACTATTGACATCATATTGTTGCAGCTCTGTCACTTCATAAAGGTTTTCTTTCTCCATTATTGGTTGCTTGAGTGAGCCCTCTTGGGTATGGAAGAGGATACTTTTTGAGGTTGTTTTGTTTAGTGTAACCATGGCGTTAATTAGTTTCATTATTCTCATGAATTATCAAGCGTCAAAGAAATTGGCTACTATGAAGCATTATGTATTTATGTCTGCTACAGTAAAATTAGCTTAATTTTACACAGTGAAATGAAGATAACACAGTAATTAAAACTGTAGATTCTACTTCAATCATAATACAAATGAATAATGCATCCCTTAATTACTTGTGCATGTAGCAATTACTGGTAGTAGTCCTTATCTCTCAAAGACTTACTTTTCTATTTCTTTATCACTTTTGTTTATCCCTCCCCCTAATCATCATCTGGTTTCTTAAATTCTACAGAAAATTTTATTTTATAAAACAAGACAAATACTACTTGGTTTTATACTTAAACTAAAGTCAGCAAGTGTTGTTCTACTGAACATAAATCTCATAAAAGCCAACAGGGCTGTCTTCATTACTAATTGCTTCATCTCCACAGACCCTCAACTCAATATAGTCAGTAATGGTAGTGCTACCATAGTCTCTGTGAAACCATGGGATACTAGATCCAGTACAGCAAGTGTCTATAGTTCCACAATTTTGACCATCCCAGAGTGGATCAGATGTGTAGAGAATAGGCGACCATGAAGAAGCTTGATTACCAGACTCACAGTAATAATGGTTTCCTACAAAAGATGGGACTGTCTGGGCACTTCCACTTACACATGGGCACATCCAAGCTGGGTTAGCACCAGTGTATAAATCAGTTGGATCGTTTGCAAACGTCCAGACATGTTGACGAGGAGACCCACGAGTGATACTAACACCATCAACGTAAGGAGAATTGATATTGTTATGTGGGGCATGATTGAATGCATCTGATGAGAAATATTGATATCCTGTTACTCTACCACATATCTGAGAATAACTGATATTAGTTGGGTATGTAACAGATATACAGCCAGGACCATTGGTAGTCCTACCACAAGCTCTAACTCCTCCTGACTGGTACAGTCTAAACCCAGAAGGACAGTTCTGTGTAGCATCAGACATATCCAAATATGCTAATCTTGTCCATCCTCCTCCTGAACCACACAGCAACCCCATATTACAATATGTAGAATAAGTAGCCCCTTCAGTATTAGTGTATGCTAGTTGATACACACCTGAAGGACTGAGTGGTTGTCTCTCCTTAATCTCTTTACAAGAGGTAGGTAAAGCAGTTGAGTCATTGTGTAGTACTAATAGTTCTTGTGCTATTAGTAGTATATCATCAGCCACTGCTGCAGTAGAAGTACAGGTGTCTTGTAGATTAGAGAGAGTATTAACAATGTTAATGAGTTTTGAAGCAGAGTTCCCAGTTGTCTCCAATATCTTGTTTATATTGATGCTATTGTTAATACCCTTTTCCGTTTGCATGTCAGCAAAATTATGAATATCGTCAATCTTCCATGCAGTATCCACTGATGCATTTACTAGCGTGTTAACCCGAGCCTTCAACTCATTCATTTCTTGCTGCATCCTATTAGTCCATTCATTATATACTATACTGCAGTTGGGAAGGCTAGTAGCAGTTGATGGGACATCAGTAGTACTGGGACAATTTGTTCCTTCAACTGATTGCCCTGTAGAAGAGCTGGTTTTTCCATATCCTTCCTCTACTGTAACAAATACAGCAAGCAGAAGAGCAAGAATGAGAAATAAGGTCATCAGGGTTACAACAGCTACGACTATCAGAGCACAGCAGACCTTTTCTTTGACTACAAAAAACTGTTCCTTCGACTTTCTATCTAATTCGTTGTATTCGTAACCAGTATTGACATCATATTGTTGTAGCTCTGTGCCTTCATAAACATTTTCTTTATCCATTATTGCTTGCTTGATTGATCCTCTCTTGTTTGTGAAAGAGGTTACTTTTAGAGGTTGTTTTGTTTTGTGTAACCATGACACTAATTAGTTTCATTATCCTCATGAATACCATATTCAATTGTATATTTGCTATTGAAGCCCATTATGATAATGTCTGGTATAATACAATGTGCTTATACAGTATAATCACAAAAGTGTGATCATAGTGCATTCATCATTAAAATTTTCATTTTAGCTTGCAAAATATTATCCGATAATAATTAATCAGAAAAACTTAGCAATAACTAAAAAATGCATTAAAAATTATTAGGAAACATAAATCTCAATGAAGCTGACTGGAGTGTCTTCATTATCAATTCCCTCATTACTACACACTCTCAATTCAATGTAGTCACTGCTAGCACCAGCAGCACCATAGTCCCTGTGAAACCATGGGATACCAGGAGCAGCACAGCATGGACCTTCCTTACTACCACAACCTTGACCATCCCAGAGTGGATCAGCTGTGTAAAGGGCTACCACTACGTTTGAGTTAGGATTACCAGACTCACAGAAATAGTGACTGCCCATAAATGATGGTACTTGTCTTGTACTTCCAGTACTACACGGGCAACTGTATGCACCATTGTGATTTTCCCATGGAGCAGCCATTAGTGACCAGATATGCTGACGAGAAGACCCACGAGTGATACTAACACCATCAAGGTATGTTAAATTGACATTTGTTACTTGTGAATGAATTGCATCAGGTCCTCCAATTTGATATCCTGTTACTCTACCGCATATCTGAGAATAACTGATACCATTAGATGGGAACTGAACTGATGCAGTGCATCCAGCACCTTGATTTGGTCTACCACAAGCTCTAACTCCTCCTGACTGGTGCAGTCTAAACCCACAAGGACAATTTTGTGTAGCATCAGACATATCCAGATATGCTAGTCTTGTCCATCCTTCAGTTGAGTTACAGAGTGGTCCCATATTACAGTAAGCAGTATAAGTAGTTGATCCATTAGTTGATGCTAATACATAATAACCTGATGAACTGTTTGGGTATTGGCTTTTCAATTCCTTACAAGAAGTAGGTAAAGCAGTTGACTCATTGTGTAGTACTAATAGTTCTTGTGCTATTAGTAGTATATCATCAGCCACTCCAGCAGTAGAGGTACTGGTGTCTTGTAGATTAGAGAGAGTATTGACAATGTTAATGAGCCTTTGTGCAGAATCTCTTGTAGTTTGTAAGATTTGTTCATCAAGTTCAGTGAAGTTGGTATTGTTCTGAAATAGTTGAAGGGTATTTTGTGATACACCATTAGCCCATTCATTGAAGTCAGGAAGGGTCCCTGTTACATTGCTGTTAACTTTAGAGACAACACCTTTAGCCCATTCATTGAAGTCAGGAAGGCTCCCTGTTACATTGCTGTTAACTTTAGAGACAACACCGTTAGCCCATTCATTGAAGTCAGGAAGGCTCCCTGTTACATTGCTGTTAACTTTAGAGACAACACCATTAGCCCATTCATTGAAGTCAGGAAGGCTCCCTGTTACATTTCTGTTAACTTTAGAGACAACACCATTAGCCCATTCATTGAAGTCAGGAAGGCTCCCTGTTACATTTCTGTTAACTTTAGAGACAACACCATTAGCCCATTCATTGAAGTCAGGAATTTTCTGGCTAATATTTTGAGCTATGCGATCAGCCCATTCATTTGTATTACTACTACTGCTAGCACCAGTTGCAGTATTAGTACACTCAACATTATTACCAGTAACATACTTATCATACACTACAATGCCCAGTATAATTATTAATAATATCAATATGAGACAGAGTAATACTGTCATGAACAGCAGTGGTTTACTCCAAGATGACTGCCTTTGTTTAGGCCCCATTGCTACATTAGGAGACCCAGTCAGTCCAGGAGTAGATAGAAGAGACTGCTGACCTTTCTTTTCTTCTTTCTTACAATATTCTGGAAGTTCATAAGTATTCTCATTTGTCTCTACTGATGAGAAATTAGGAGATTCATAAAACTGTTCCAGTGGCTGCTGTGCCATAGTTACTACTGATGAAGCTCAATGAAGCTTGTGTCTTACTTTATATAAACACAATTTAGTGACAAACAAAACTGTTATTGCTTAGCATGGCTGAGGTGAAGATAACACAGTATAAAATTTGCACAATATTAGAAAGGAACTTGGCTCTATCTAGTAGTTTCGTGATAAACTTACATCACAAATTGTTGATTTAATAGCAAAAGAAGATATTCCCACATTAGATGTTATTGTTTTGGGGAGACAACAAGCATAGCCCTATATATTTTGGAAAAATAAGGGATTATTGCCTTATTGAGTTCCTTTTAAATAAGAACTTCAAGGTAATATAGGAACAAAATTGCAATCATTACCTGCAAGAGTTAGAATCTACATGCAATCTAAGGCAAGACAAAAGCAGCAATAATAATGACTTCAAAATTCATTATGTTTGTTGGATTCAATATTTTTATTGAAAAGTTGCAAAGTATCACCATAATGTATTCATAATGAACAATTTTATTTTAGCTGAAGAAGTAGCATCAAAATAATATACACAAAACTTAGCTAATCATGCAACATTAAAAATAAAAATTATTATTAGGAAACATAAATCTCAATGAAGCTGACTGGAGTATCTTCATCATCAATTCCCTCATTACTACACACTCTCAATTCAATGTAGTCACTGCTAGCACCAGCAGTGCCATAATCCCTGTGAAACCATGGGATACCAGGAGCATTACAGCATGGAACTTCCTTATCACCACAACCTTGACCATCCCAGAGTGGATCAGCTGTGTAAAGGGCTACCACTACATTTAAGGTAGGATTTCCAGACTCACAGAAGTAGTGACTGCCTATAAATGATGGTACTTGTCTCGTACTTCCAGTACTACATGGGCAACTGTATGCACGATTGTGATGTTGCGTTGGAGCAGCCATTAGCGACCAGATATGCTGACGAGAAGACCCATGAGTGATACTAACACCATCAAGGTATGTTAAATTGACATTTGTTACTTGTGAATGAATTGCATCAGGTCCTCCAATTTGATATCCTGTTACTCTACCACATATCTGAGAATAACTGATACCATTAGATGGGAACTGAACTGAAGCAGTGCATCCAGCACCTTGATTTGGTCTACCACAAGCTCTAACTCCTCCTGACTGGTACAGTCTAAACCCAGAAGGACAGTTCTGTGTAGCATCAGACATATCCAGATATGCTAGTCTTGTCCATCCTCCTCCTGAACCACACAATGTTCCCATATTACAGTAAGTAGTATAAGCAGCATTTGTAGATCTACTTGCCAGTTGATACAAACCTGACGAACTGAGTGGTTGTTTCTCCTTAATCTCTTTACAAGAGGTAGGTAAAGCAGTTGATTCATTGTGTAGTACTAATAGTTCTTGTGCTATTAGTAGTATATCATCAACCACTCCAGCAGTAGAGGTACTGGTGTCTTGTAGATTAGAGAGAGTATTGACAATGTTAATGAGCTTTTGTGCAGAATCTCTTGTAGTTTGTAAGATTTGCTCATCAGGCTCAGTGAAGTTAGGGTTGCCATCAAGTTTGTCATAGACAATTTGAGCTATACGGTCAGCCCATTCATTTGTATTACTGCTACTGCTAGCACCAGTTGCAGTATTAGTACACTCAACATTATTACCAGTAGCATACTTATCATACACTACAATGCCCAGTATAATTATTAATAATATCAATATGAGGCAGAGTAATACTGTTATTAACAGTAGTGGTTTACTCCAAGATGACTGCCTTTGTTTAGGCCCCATTGCTACATTAGGAGACCCAGTCAGTCCAGGAGTAGATAAAAAAGACTGTTGACCTTTCTTTTCTTCTTTCCTACGAATTTCTGGAAGTTCATACATGTTCTCATTCATCTGTGTTGAGGCATAGTCCTCTGGATATTCATAAAACTGTTCCAGTGGCTGCTGTGACATAGTTACTACTGATGAAACTCAATGAAGCTTGTGTCTTACTTTATAGAAATACAATTTAGTGACAAACAAAAATGTTATTGTTTTACTTGCCTCAGGTGAAGATAACACGGTATAGTTTACACAATATATTAGAAAGGAACATGGCTCTATCTATAGTAGTTTCATGATAAACTTACATCACAAAATTGTTGATTTAACAGCAAAAAAAGGATATTCACATGTTGGATGTGATTGTTTTGGGAAGACAACAAGCATAACCCTATGTATTTTGGAAAAATTAGGGTAAGTTGACTAAGCTGGTAATAAGAATAAAATGGCAATCATTACCTGCAAGAGTTGCATGCAGCATATATCATATCTATAAGGTAAGACAGAAGCACAATATATCTATACTAATAATAATGACAAATGCAACATTCAGTTTGTTGCATTCAAAATATTCATCTCATCAGTTTTTATTGAAAAGTTGCAAAGTACCACCATAATTTATTCATAATTAACAATTTTACAAAATAGCATCAAGATTGAACTTAGCTATAATCTTGTAACGTTAAAAATGAATATTATTAAGAAACATAAATCTCAATGAGGCTGACTGGAGTATCTTCATTATTGATTCCCTCATTACTACACACTCTCAATTCAATGTAGTCACTACTAGCACCAGAAGTACCATAATCCCTGTGAAACCATGGGATACCAGGAGCAGCACAGCATGGACCTTCCTTACTACCACAACCTTGACCATCCCAGAGTGGATCAGATGAGTAGAGAGTGTAGCTATAACTACTAGAGCTAGGATTACCAGACTCACAGAAATAGTGACTGCCTACAAATGATGGTACTTGTCTCGTACTCCCAGTATTACATGTGCAATCCGGATTTCCTGATTGTGATTCATATAGTCCACTGATAAGTGACCAGATGTGCTGATGAGAAGACCCACGAGTGATACTAACACCATCAAGGTATGTTAAATTGACATTTGTTACATCTAAATGAATTGAATCTGTTGATCCATATTGATAACCTGTTACTCTACCACATATCTGAGAATAACTGATACCATTAGATGGGAACTGAACTGATGCACAGCCACCACTGCTGTTAGTCCTACCACAAACTCTAACTCCTCCTGACTGGTACAGCCTAAACCCAAAAGGACAGTTCTGTGTAGAGTCAGTCATATCCAGATATGCTAGTCTTGTCCATGCTCCTCCTGAACCACACAATGTTCCCATATTACAGTAAGCAGTGTAAGTAGCATTAGTGGATCTACTTGCCAGTTGATACAAACCTGATGGACTGTTAGGTTGTCTCTCCTTAATCTCTTTACAAGAGGTAGGTAAAGCAGTTGAGTCATTGTGTAGTACTAATAGTTCTTGTGCTATTAGTAGTATATCATCAACCACTCCAGCAGTAGAGGTACTAGTGTCTTGTAGATTAGAGAGAGTATTGACAATGCTAATGAGCTTTTGTGCAGAATCTCTTGTAGCTTGTAAGATTTGATTATCAAGTTCAGTAAAGTTGGTATTGTTCTGAAATAGTTGAAGTGTATTTTGTGATACACCATTTGCCCATTCATTGAAGTTGGGAATTTTCTGGCTAATATTTTGAGCTATACGGTCAGCCCATTCATTTGTATTACTACTACTGTTAGCACCAGTTGCAGTATTAGTACACTCAACATTATTACCAGTAGCATACTTATCATACACTACAATGCCCAGTATAATTATTAATAATATCAATATGAGACAGAGTAATACTGTTATCAACAGTAGTGGTTTACTCCAAGATGACTGCCTTTCTTTAGGTCCCATTGCTACATTAGGATACCCAGTCAGCGGTCCAGGAGTAGATAGAAGAGATTCTTGGTTTTTCTTTTCTTCATTCCTACGGATTGCTGGTAGTTCATATGTATCCTTATTTGTCTCTACTGATGAGAAATCAGGAGATTCATAAAACTGTTCCAGTGGCTTCTGTGTCATAGTTCCTATTGATAAAGCTCAATGAAGCTTGTGTCTTACTTTATATAAACACAATTTAGTGACAAATAAAACTGTTATTGCTTAGCCTGACTGAGGTGAAGATAACATAGTAAAATTTGCACAATATTAGAAAGGAACTTGGCTCTATCTAGTAGTTTCATGATAAACTTACATCACAAATTGTTGATTTAACAGCAAAAGAAGATATTCACACATTAGATGTTATTGTTTTGGAGAGACGATAAGCTATATAATTTTGGAAAAAAATATTAAAGGACTTAATGTCAGTGTCCCTGACTGTAGTGTCTTCATTCTCTAGAGAATAACTATAGCAACATTCATCACAACTCCTGACCCTGACACGTGATCACACGTGGTTTCCGTTTATTATTAGCATACTCTATTAGGATACTCCGTATCTATTTTAAAATGGCTGCTAGTCAAGTTGTTAGGAGGATCATTTGCTGTGACAAAATTGCTAAACCAGTCGGACCTTACAAGTAAATATAGAATAGTATAATTGAAGTGTTATTTTAAAAATAAATCTAATTATAATGATACTTAATTACTAGTTATACTTAATTGCAAGGAAAATTTTATCATAGTACTAGCCGTCAGAACTAAACTACATGTATATATAATAGCAAATTAAAATTCTCAAAATATTGTTAATGACTTAAAAGCACGGTATATTTAACATATTTACCTTAATTTAACAGGTCGTCAACCTTTATATGTAATATTGTTGTGTGTTATTATTGAAATTATCATTATTATAGTCATGCTGTCATTGTTAATGGGACTGTCTATGTAGCAGGAATGATCGGAATGAATAAGGTACCTCACCATTCCTTAGGTATCATTGTTATTATCATTATCATTATTATATTATTATTATAGGATGGCCAATTGGTGGATGGTGGAGTTAAAGCTCAAGCAGAACAAGTAGGAGCATTAAAAGTACCCAAGGCTATAGCCCATGGTTTTTTCTGAAAAATGGCTCCGAAATCATCCCAAATTTTTATTACATTTTCAGATACATATTGATGTCCTTATGCTGTGTAGAAAGTTTGAGGTGATTCCGACTTCAATTTTTCAAGTTACGGCCATTTTAAGAAAACGCCAAAATATTGAAAAATACCCAAGGCTATAGCCCATGGTTTTTTCTGAAAAATGGCTCCGAAATCACCCCAAATTTTCATTACATTTTTTGATACATATTGATGTCCTTATTCTGTGTAGAAAGTTTGAGCTGATTCCGACTTCAATTTTTCAAATTACGGCCATTTTAAGAAAACGCCAAAATTCTGAAAAATACCCAAGGCTATAGCCCATGGTTTTTCCAAAAAATGGTTCTAAAATCACACCCAATTTTTATTACATTTTCTGATACATATTGATGCCCTTATGCTGTGTAGCAAGTTTGAGGTGATTCTGATTTCAATTTTTCAAGTTACAGCCATTTTAAGAAAATGCCGAAATTCTAAAAAGTACCAAAGGCTATATAGCCCATGGATTTTTTCAAAAAATGGCTCCGAAATCACCCCAAATTTTTATTACATTTTCTGATACATATTGATGTCCTTATGCTGTGTAGAAAGTTTGAGCTGATTCCGACTTCAATTTTTCAAGTTACGGCCATTTTAAGAAAACGCCAAAATTCTGAAAAATACCCAAGGCTATAGCCCATGGATTTTTTCAAAAAATGGCTCTGAAATCACCCCAAATTTTTATTACATTTTCTGATACATATTGATGTCCTTATGCTGTGTAGAAAGTTTGAGCTGATTCCGACTTCAATTTTTCAAGTTACGGCCATTTTAAGAAAACGCCAAAATTCTGAAAAATACCCAATGCTATAGCCCATGGTTTTTTGAAAAAATGGCTCCAAAATTACTCCAAATTTTTATTACATTTTCTGATACATATTGATGTCCTTATGCTGTGTAGAAAGTTTGAGCTGATTCCGACTTCAATTTTTCAAGTTACGGCCATTTTAAGAAAACGCCAAAATTCTGAAAAATACCCAATGCTATAGCCCATGGATTTTTTCAAAAAATGGCTCCGAAATTACTCCAAATTTTTATTACATTTTCTGATACATATTGATGTCCTTATGCTGTGTAGAAAGTTTGAGCTGATTCCGACTTTAAATTTTTGAGTTATGGCAATTTTTAGAAAAATACCTAAAGCTATAGCCTTGGGCATTTTAGCTCATGGTTTTTTCTCCAAAAAATGGCTTCAAAATTACCTCCAATTTTAAATTAGATATACTAATATAAATTGATGTTCTTATGCATGTACAGTATGTAGTTCAATGTATTGAAACTTTATATTACATTTATTTCTTTTTTGAAGACATTAGAGAACATTAAAGCAGTATTGGAGACTGCTGGCTGTACGTGCAACAATGGTAAGAATGTGAAGCATTAGCTGTTAATCTGTCAATATTATGATACTGGTATTCCAATAGTTGTGAAGACTACAGTGCTGTTAGCTGATATTAAGGACTATGCAACTGTTAATAGTGTCTATACTAATTGTAAGTTCTGAGCAATCATGTAAGATAATGGTTTACTAATAACAATAATGTAGGTTTGATTGTAATGTCAAGTTTATACATGTACCGTATACAAGATGATTTATTGGCGGGAGTAATATTTGGCGAATTTGCCTGTGGAAAGAAATTGGTGAATTTTATATTAGCAGTTTTGTGCCACGTGTCATTGAGCATGCTCAGATTGAAACAAAATGGCAGATTTTATATTGGCGATTTCTTCATAGAATTGCCAATTGCCAATATTAATTCCTCACCAATAAATCATCTTGTACGATTATGGAACTGTTAATAGTGTCTACACTAATTATAAGTTTAGAGCGATCATGTAAGATAATGGTTACAGAAAGAGCTAAAGTTAATATCCTAGAAGAATTTCCATCTATATTTAGATCTACATGTACAGTATGTACTAATAGCAATGGTGTAGGTTGTATTGTACCTACATGTACCATATAGTGGGAAATTTTGGAGGGACTAAAATTTGGCGAATTGCTAAATTTTGGTGATTGGCGAATTTTAATTTGGCAAATTTGTGGCCACATGCCATTGAGCATGCGTATAATGGCTCACAATGGTGGATTTTATTTTGGCGAATAGATATCAAAACACCAAATTCGCCAAATTTAATCCCCTCCAAAATTTCCTGCTTTACGGTACATGTATCTTATAATTAAAATTATCAAAGAAAAAAATAGCATTGGATCCTTCATGTACAGCGTACATATAGCTTTACTTGTTTGTGTGTGTGTGTGTAGCAATAAATGTAGTTAACTTTTTTACCCAGCTTTAATACAATTACATGTACACTGAATTACCTACATTACTAAGAGTAGATTCTTGCCATTACACATACAAATTACCATTCCTCTTACAATTTGCACTTAAAATCCACACATGCCACCCTCATACTACTAGCTCTCCCTCACTCTCATTTCTTCACTCAGCCATTTCTCCATTTCCCTTCCTTTATTTCCTCTTCTTCCTGTCTCATTCTTTCCCCCTCCTCCCCCTTCTTTCTCTTCTCTCCTTCTCAGATTTCCCTCCTCAGTATGCTCCAGCCAGAGCTGCATATCAAGTGGCAACACTACCAAAAGTATAGGCCTATCATGACAGTGTTGTAATCCTATCCTATTCTTGTATCATCATTTAGAATGCATTGGTGGAGATTGAAGCTGTAGCAGTACTGGGAGATATTGTGGATCAATGAATAGTTTGAAATAAATTTAAGACTTTTCTGCTGATATGTACAATAAAAATTAAACTTTTTTTCTTGTTATAATGACTGTTATATTATTATTATTATTATTATTATTATTAATGTAGTTATAATACTTTTCTGAATGGAATAGAAGTGTTCGGTGCTATAATAGTCACAATCTGTCATAAAATAATGGTACTTGTTGGTCACTAGGAGAAGTGTCAAGTTTGAGATCCAATGGTTTGTGTCTCTTCAGAGAATTTGACTCTTCTCTCTGCATTTTCCAGCACTTGGTGGACCATTTCAGACACTGCTTTCTTATCTTCTGGACTCACCCCGTTTTTCTCGTTTCTGTTCACTTTGCTCTTTTTGGAGGAAGATGAAGTATCTGCAGCATCGTTTTTACTTGAAGACGAGGCGCAACCCATTTTCTCGCGCTTCAAAGACAGTAAAATCCCGGATAATCTTGTAATCTCGCGTCTTAAAGTATGCGGATAATGACGAGAATTTACGGGTAAGGCTAAACGGATTTTGGATATTCTCGTTGTCTTGCTTCATTGGATATACGGAGAAATAGACAAAGTGTTCGGACCTATACGGAGAATATCCTGATCTGGTATGGTTCTTACAAGCAATGATGGTTTTTTAAGCGGCCTAACGAAACTCTTCCAGTCCTCAAGGACCAGTGGGTCAGTATGGATAACAATGAAAAAATGTGAGAAATTTTCTAAAAATTAAAATTAAATTTTTATTGCTTTAACTTTTAAAAATTACAGACAATGGTCAAACAAAGCCGAAACCTAAGCCTAGGAAAAAGGGCGTCGCTCAAGGAGGAAAAGGAGGCGGTCCCAGTCCACCAGAGCAGTTGGATGAGAACCTGTGTCTATTGAGAGCAACGAATGGGAAGAAAAAGATCAGTACCATAGTACGTGAAACAAAGCATAATAATAATATAATATTA